ACGGGCTCTGGAAGGATTCTCCATTTTTTGTTGAATCTGCAGGTACTGAAAATCTTATCTAATTTTACTTTCAGGAGAAAAAAATAAATCCTTCTATCAAATGAATTCTCAGCAACCCCTTCAGCAGCCTGCTCTGCGGACAAGCACAGTGCTGTCTTTGTACAACAGAGAGTCTGAAGCAGGGTTGATTAAATAACAGCTCACTGACTTAATTTTAAGAAAGGAGAAATTTATTAGCCAAGGCTCTGCCAGCTGGTGACCGCTTGCAGGAAGAGAATTCCAAGCATGTTGGCCCCGAGCCGCAGCTCAGAGCTTCCTTAAGTACACCTAGCTTTCATTTTGGTTAGCTAAAGTTAGAGTTGGACATTTTCCAGAGCTCTTATCGCAATATTCTGCTGACATCAGCAAACTAGTGAGCTTACAGAAGCAGATGTGCTAATTAGGCAGGTGTAGTGGATAAGAATTCAATTTATTTTGCAATGTTTACAGAGGAGAAACCTTCAAAGAAAAATCTCCATGAAGGGAGTAACGTTTGTTTCAAGGCTGAAGTCATTTCTTTGATTCCCCCTTTGTAATTCCAGGGGCAGAGGCTGCTTCTTTTCCCTTTCACATTCCCCCGCTTTGAGTTGTGCCAAGAATCACATTATTGACTCTTCAGAGTGTAGTGGGATCTGAGAACCATTATTATTTATTTGCAACTAACAGTTAGAGGTATTAAATTTACCACATAGTCCTCCTTCTTCTGCCAGCAGGTTGTCCAAAGCTAGGCGGTTTTGATAAATAGGTGCACACATTTGGGCTTGCTGCTGAGCAATAAGCTCAAAAGCTGTGGCTGTTTGATTAGTTATAATTTCTTTTTTTTTTTTGAGTTGGAGTCTCACTCTGTCACCCAGGCTGGAGTGCAGTGGCCACTCCCGGCCACCGCAGCCTCGACCTGCTGGGGTCTGGCGATCCTTCCACCTCAGCCTTCCAAGTAGCCAGAATTACAGGCATGCACTACCACACCCAGCTGATTTTTTGATTTATCATAGAGATGAGGTCTTGCTGCCCAGGCGGGTCTTGAACCTGTGGGCTCAGGCAATCCACTCACCTCAGCATCCCAAAGGCATGGGATTACAGGCTGAGCCACCGAGCCCAGCTAGTTAAAATTTCTAAGACAGTTTGTAACCTGATAATGCGATTTAGCATATATAGAGAGGCGTGCAGCATTTCCGACTCCCATCTTGTGCCCATGTGACTGGGCCATAAGTATTTATAATTCTCTGGGGTGGCCATTCATCATCTTTCCAAACCTGGGTTCCTCCTACATTAGGAACTTGATTGAGGGATTGAGTACCTCGGGTTTTGAGGCTTTCATAAAAGGGGATGCCTAGTTCATGCACCCTTGGGTTAGGCAGAAGGAAAAATCCTGACTGGATTATTCCTGTGGCGCATGTGCCTTTTCATAATGCTGGGAGCTGGGCATATGCAACCTTTTCATATGTCCAAAATAGCCCTTTTGTGCAGTGAGAAGGTTTAGTTGCATAAGAAGGTGCCCAATACCAAACAGGCCTTATTGGCTGCCAGAAGAAACTTCTGGCTGGGATGCATAATGATGGAAAACTCTTATGTCTGGCCAGATCGTTTCTATACACGTACATGCTGGGTGTGTGAGGGAAGTGATAAACACCCAAATTAGGCAGAAATACATAAAAGGACACGAACATTTCCTGTTATAAGACAGAATGGGAATGCTAGTGAAACCCTTTTCTAACATACTCAATGAGAACAACTCTGTTAATCCTACAGCAAATAAAGTTAGTTTTACAGCAATTAAAATGACAAACAGTTTAGCAAATATAAAGGTTGACAAAGCAAAACAATGGCTTATCAGTAATGTCCGCTGAGTTCTTAAGCTGAATCCTTAATTTTCTGCCGTGCGTCGATCAGTCAGCCTTGTGTGTGACTGAAGCAGCGCTGGAGAATTCTCAGGCTTCTAGAGCAGGGCTTGAGAAATTTTGACTTTCCAGAAGGTCAGCTTAAGGGGTGTTGCTGAATCTGCGGTGCACTCCCAGTCCTGGAAGGCCAGCTTAGGTCTGCTATATAAAAGAACAATAAATGGCCCCAGTTGTTGGTTGGGTTCTTTCTTTCTTCAATTTTTTAGCAGCACTTACTCCCCTGGGATATTTGAGGTTTTTCTGGTCCAAGAAGCATCTAGGGAAATAAGCTTATAAAGTGTGATTAAAATTTGTCCCAAATAGACAACACTTTTTTTATGAGCATTTATGCTTGTAGTTCCCCTTTCCTTCAGAGGTGTAGGACAAAGGCCTACCATTAAACAATTTCAAAGGTTTAACAAATTCCATTTCAGGGACTTGGATCCTGAGTGATGCAATACCAAATACCTATGTTTAGTTTACACATGTCTCCAAAGGATTTCTAGCGATTATTATGTTACCTTGCATATTGAAAGATTGTACTGTCCTAGTTTTACATCTGATGGAGTTTTCCCTGGATTTGTCAAGGGATAGAATCAGTTGCCACTTGGCCTGCAGTAGAAACATTTGAACGCCTTTTAAACCTACCTATAGGAAATTTATTTATGTCTAGCCTGTGCTAGCTACCCTGACTTTATTATTTATTCTTTAGAGATTTTTCAATCCCATAATCATTTGGGTGCTAGGGGTGAAGGTCCATCTTCTGTAATTTCTTCAGAACTGATAATGGGTACAGTCCTGCCTAGCCTGAGCTCGAAAATTTTTCCTTGTCTGACTTGAGGCATCCAGATTTGTTTCAGCTGTGGCATTGTTTGCATGCACTGGCTGGAAATTTTTTGCATGACCATTATGTGGGCATGAAATTACTGGATTCTAGCTCAATAAAAGGGATAAAGTCAGGCCTACATTTTGACAATTGTAGGCAGTGGCTGATTAACATTTTGTACAAAAGCTACAAGGCTCAAAGTCATGAACATAACTTAAGGGATAAACTTTAATTTCTGTCGCTTTATTACAAGTACCAGCTTTTGTATTTCTGGACTATAATGGTAGCCTGACAGAATGTTCTAGACTATGATTTGAACTAGGCATTTAAATAAATTTTATATAAAATTTGAAGAGAAATCTGAAAATGTTTGGGGACTTGCATTCAGAAAAGACTTCATTATGCCTAGATTGTTTATAGAATTTCTTTTGTATGCTTATTTTTTACAAACTTTTCTTATACCATTTTTGGCATGCTTATACCATTTTATTTTTGTTTTCTTACTAAAACCTTATTTGTATACCAACAACTTTTTTATATTTTTTCTTTGCTCTTTGCTTTTCTTTTAATTTATTTATAGATAAACTTTTACAGTCATAATTTGAATTCACATTTTAGTAACTGTTAGGTGAAACATTTAGTTTTTTGGAACACCTTTAACTCCCACTAGAGAGCAGTTTTTAGGAGAAAGTGAAGTAGAGTCCGAGCGATTAAATAACAGCCCACTGACTTAATTTTAACAAAGGAGAAGTTTATTAGTAAAGATTCTGCCAGCTGGCAGCAACTTGCAGGAAGAGACTTTCAAGCAAGATGGCCCCAAGCCGCCACTTAGAGCTTCCTTTAGTAGTCCTAGCTTACATCTTGGTTAGGTAAAGTTAGAGTTGGATCTTTTCCAGAGCTCTTATTGCAATATTCTGCTGACATCAGCAAGCTAGTGAGTTTACAGGCAGATGTAGTGGGTAAGGATACAACTTATCTTGCAATGTTTACAGAGGAGAAACCTTCAAAGAAAAACCTCCAGGAAGGGAGTAACACGTGTTTCAAGGCTGAAGCCATTTCTTTCATCCCCACCCTTTACAATCCCAGGGGAAGAGGTTGCTTCTTTTCCCTTTCACAAAAGAAGTTCTGTATGAGCACAAGGGCTAGAAACTTAGCCTCAGTATTAATTAAAAAATTAATTTGGGCTCCAGTCCCATTCATGTAGACCCAAGGATTCACTGTGTGGATGTCATACAGAGTGCTGCGTTGAGCCATGCCCCTCCCCCTTCAGTCAACAGCCACCGTCACCAAACTAGGTGTTCCCCCCAACTTCAGAAGAGGCCACACCATTTCTTTCAGTGGCTTTTTATTCTGGATACTGGACAAGGTCCTGGGGGATTAGGCCATTAAGAACAATTATGCTTTAGGTGCCCAGATTGACCACATTCATAGCAGCTGATACCATCTCCCTTAGCGGGTTTATCCTCATCAGGCCTCTTTTGGGTGGTTGAAGCTTTGCTTTTAGTGGCAACTGCCAATTTGTTTACCTTTCTTCTGCCTGGTGCTCATTTTCGAGTTCTTCTCCTTTTTTAAAAATGTTTCAGTTTCTAAGAACTTCAGAGTCTTTCTATAATTGGGAGTTTGGTATTTCCTGAGTTAAGCTTCTGGAGTTTGGCATTGTATTCAGGAGCATTGGGGGCTTATTTTTTATTTTTTTCTTATTTATTTATTTATCCATATATTTATTCCTTTTTACTTTTTACTCTTCTTTTAAGGGGCTTGTTTCTTTGGTACTTGGGTGTGGCACTGGCCAGCTTGTCTGACCTGCCACTGGTGGATGTGGATTTCCAGAGCAGGGCAAAAAATATGGGATCCCCTTGAAACTACTCACAGGGTACATTGAAGTGTTTTGCTGCCTCTACTGACTAGGACGGAGTCCTGCAGCTCAGTGATCTAGCCACCAGGCCTCATTCTTGTACTACAGTTCCCAGCAAGCTCCGCGACACATGCCACATCCTGCTCCTCCCCCCAACTTCCAGTGCAGGGAGGCAACTCAACTTCAAAATGCTACAGGAAAAAAACATGCTTTTCTTTTTTCTTGCCTCCTCCCACCCCGTTGGATCACATCTGCTGTCATTCAAGATCAGAAGTGTGGTGACCTGTTGCCTTATCCAATCAACGATGCTAGTTCGGAAGCGGCCCAATCAGAAGAGAGATTAAAGTGAGGTGGTGGCTTCTGGGTTCTGACCGGGTCTTTTGTTTTCTGGGCCTGCGGAAGGGGCGAATCATCTCAGAGAGAGCCACGTGTATTTGCTTCTTCCCTTTTCGCCCTGTGACATGCAGGTCTGGGGAGTCCATAGGGAGGACGCTGGGACACCCAGAAGCCGGGAGATGGTGAGTACGGGTGTGGGTGCGAGAACGAGAGGCAGGATGGACACGGATGACCCAGCTGTGGCCGCCTGGCCTTCCCCTCACTTCTGATCCTGGACCTGAGCCCGCCGGCAGCTCGGCCCAGTTCACTCTTCACAGGGTGGGTCTGGATTGGTCCCCAGCGTCCTGTCCCCTTGGCAACCTCACTCTACTGGTTCCTTCTCTAGTATGTATGTGTGAGACCCAGGAATGTCGTGGGCGGTCTAACCCGCGTGGGGGCCCCTGGGGGAAGGAGTTGTGGTTCTTGCCCCGTACCTCTCTCCTCCTAGAAGGTAAACGGAGGCTCCAGCACCGTGTTAAGGGATTCCTTTGGGCCAACAGCGGATCGTGAATCCCTATGCCCTGGTCAGGGCTTGTAGTCTCGGTTTCTGGAGGGCCCGGGGAAATGCTTGGAGAAGAGGCGGGGGAAGCCGACCATGGGCCGTTGGCAGTGGGTGCCAGCCCCACAGTCGCCTGATCTGTAATGTCCAGGTGGAGATCCCTAGATCAAGTCATCAGGATTGTTAGGATACTCGACAGGGTGAGGGAAAATGGATGGAGCAAGGGGCGCAGCACCGCTGGGGCTGGCAAACCGGAGGTGCGTGCTGGGAACCTAGAGATCCGAGTAAATTGCAAAGAATTGCAACACACAGAGGTGAGAGAAAAGATTTATTTAAGAAAAGTTCACCCCCCCAGAGTCCTGGCTTAAATTGTTTTCTTGGAGATGTTGCACGTGACTGCCTTTTCGACCACCTGTGAATGTCTTTGGGTTCTGTGACACAGGGACCCATTAATGTCTGTCCACATTATCATAGCCCCGGTTGTGACAAGAATTCTAATTCTCCTGCACCTTCCCAAATGACATTCCTTAGAGCTAGTGGGGGGTGCACCTCCCCTTATTTCCTAAGCATTCCCAGTGAGTAGCTTCGGGGGATCCTTGGTTTCCCTGTAGATAGTGCCCAATTTACTGGAAGATCGAATCCCCAGCTGCTCTCCCTCTGAGCGGTCATAACTTTTGTAATTACAAGTTACATGACTTTTACAATCCTTGCCCAATGCATGATGACTTAGACCTTGTAAATTCCCTTTACTCTCGGAAGCTTGATTGCCACTATGTGATAACCGGAAGTCTGTTTCTAAAAAGACAAAGTCAGTAAAGTTAATTATACCTAAAGTGTGCATTTCTCTATAAGCATAGCATCTACTTTTTACTCAATGTGTCAGGGTTTCAGAACCAGATGAAACATGGCTTCCCACTCTTGGTCTGTCCTTTCAGGGGTCATTGGCAGTTTGTCACCAGGTTCTGTCTGGTGAAACAGGGAAAGTCAAGACAAGGTGTTGGAGCAGGGGCTGTGACTTTAATATTTAGAGGACCATTAAAACCGAGAAGATGAGGGGCCAAGACTCCTCTTGGGCTTTGTGTACTTTTGGTGGGTTTTATCCAGGTTAGTTGTGGGAGAGAGAGAGGGGAGAGAATTGTTTGAGCCCAGAAATTTGAGGTTAACCTGAACAACATAGCATATCCATGTAGATATAAAAGCTGAAACAATTTAGCCAAGAGTCATCGCACATGCCTGTAGTTTCATATTCCTGGGAGCCTGAGAAGGAAGAATCTGTTGAGCTCAGGTGGTCAAGATGGTGGTAAGCTCTGTGGAGACACTTAATGCCTACCTGGGTTACAAAGTGATACTCAGACTCATAAAATACATTTAATTTAATTTTTAAAAAATAAAGGCATATCTCCAACATGTAGATGTGACTTGTCCAGATAATCTCATCTGATAAGAAATTCCAGAAGCAGTTGTGGCAAAAATGGCTGGTTCTCAGGTAAATGTGTTCCAGGTCAGGGGCTGTGTCTCTTTTCCTACTGGAATGTCATGATTTTAGAGCATGCAAACCTTGGCTGATACTCATCTGTTTTCTTATTTTTAAAGTTGGAGTCTCACTCTGTCACCCAAGCTAGAGTGCAGTAGCATCCTCTGTCCCCCGTAACATTGACCTGCTGGGCTCAGGTGATCCCTCCACCTCAATCATTCAAGTAGCTGGAACTACCAGCACACATCACCATGCTTGTCTAACTTTTTGATTTATTGTAGAGATGAGATCTTGTCAAGTTGTCCAAACTGTTCTTGAACCTATGGGCTCAGGCAATCAATCCTCTCACCTCTTTCTCCCAAAGTTTTGGGATTATAGGCATGAGCCACCATGCCCGGCCTTCATATATAGCTTATTCTACTTTAAAACGGTGTATTCCCTTGATTTTTCAGCCTTTATTTATTTTTAAGATGTGGGGTACAATTCAGGTCTATGTATACAAATGTCCATTATGCAGGTACACTTGTTGATGAGGTATGCTTCACACTTCCCAGCAATATTTCACTTTCAGTCTTTTTTTTTTTTTAGTCACTATCACACTGTTTTACTTTTCAAGTCCTTATTATGGATAATAACGTCTTTCAAACTTTTTATGGATTTCCAATTTAAATATGTGTGCAAAACAGTTCGTCAGAACACAAGTGTTTGTATATCAGTATCAAACTCAATTGATAATCTGATTAGAGGATTATTGACTTAATGATACATTTAATCTTTCTTCCCTATCATGTATTTTCATTATTTTTTATTTCTACTATTTTTCATGTATTTCAGAAATACTTTACACTTCTTTATAATTTCATCTTTAAATGTAAATTTTTTTGAAAATTTCACAGTCTTTTTAATCTATTAACAAGATTATATGTCTTTCTCATTGATTTTATTAATATGATTAATTGTGTTTATGGATTCCCAAATGCTGACTCTCCTAAGCATCCCTGACATAAAGGGAGCTTAATCATAATTTAATGTTGTAACATGCTGACACAGTGTTTCTACTGATTTTTTTTTCTTTTTTGAGTTGGAGTCTCACTCTGTCACCCAGACTGGAGTGCAGTGACTGCTTCCAGCCACTGCAGCCTCGACCTGCTGGGCTTCAGCAATCCTTCTGCCTCAGTCTTCCATGTAGCTGGAACTACAGGTGTGTGCTACCACACCTGGCTAATTTTTTTCATTTATTGTAGAGATGAGGTCTTGCCAAGTTGCCCAGGCAGGTCTCGAACCCACAGGTTCAGGCAATCCACTCACCTCAGCCTCCCAAAGCATGGGATTACAGGCTGAGCGACCAAGCCAGGCTGATTTTTACATTTCTATTCAAATGTGATTTTTCTACAAAGAAATGACTTGAAATCCTTAATATGGAATAGAAATTGTGCGTTGACATTTTCCTCATCCAGGGAGACCAGGTTTATGTGGCTTTCTCTTTCTTTTTTTCTATTTTTATTTTAAAGTGTGTAGGGTATGGCCAGGCTTAGTGACTCAGCCTGTAATCCCAGCACTTTGGGAGGCCAAGGGAAGTGGATTGCCTGAGGCCGTGGGTTGCCTGAGGCCGTGGGTTTGAGACCACCCTGGGCAACTTGGTGAGACCTATTCTCTACAATAAATCAAAAATTAGCCGGGAGTGGTAGTGAACACATGTAGTTCTGGCTACTCGGAAGACTGAGATGCAAGGATCACCGGAGCCCAGCAGGGCGAGGCTGCGGTAGCCGGAAGTGTGCCACTCCACTCCACTCTGGACAACAGAGAGAGATTCCAACTCAAAAAAACAAAATAAAATAAAAGATAGGGTACAATTCAGGGTTAGCTCATAAGCAGTCATTGTACATGTAATGCTTGGGGACCAGTACTGAAGTTATATTCCCCACAATGGCAGTGTCCCACTACTGCCAATCAGTTTCTTACAGTATTCTGATAATTGTTCAGGGTCCACTCATGAGTACGTGTTGTACTCAGATGTTTGTTTATGAGATGAAACACTTGAGTGTATATATGTATATTTTAGTTGGAATCTCACTCTGTCACAAAATGTATTAATAATTTTGTGGCCACCTCCTGTGTTATGTGAACTACAGGCATGTGCTATCACACCTGGCTAATTTTTTATTTGTTGTAGAGATGAAGTCTCATCAAATTTTCCGGGCTTTCCTTGAACCCTCAGGTTCACACAATCCTCTCCTCTTGGTGTCCCAAAATGCTGGGATTACAGCTTGAGTTACCAAGCCCGGCTTTTTTTTTTTTAGTAGGAGTCTCACTGTTTCCCCTGACTGTAGAGCAATGGCACACTCATGGCCACCACCGTGTCCACCTACTCGTGAAACTTCCACTTAAGCCTTCCAAGTAACTGGAACCACAAGTTTGCACCACCATGCCTAGCCAATTTTTTTATTTATTGGAGAGACGAGGGCTCACCAAGTTGCTGTGGATGGTTTGGAAAGTATATGCTTAGGAAATCCTGTTATCTCCTCCTCCCAAAGTGCTGGGATCATGGGCATGAACCACCTCACTCATCCTGAAAGATTCTTAGTGATTATTATTATGGGTTGTCCTATTCTTACATCTTATGAAGTTTTCTTTTGATTTGCCAAAATGTGGGGAAAACTGCCAAATTGGTCTACAGTAAAATGTAATTTTAAAATGTCTGAATGTTTCCTAAAAGCAGCCTATGGGAAATTTATCTATCGATGTCTTACCTGTCCTAGCTACCCTGCCTTATTTTGACATTTCGTGGTTACATTCGCTGTTGTTTTAGTCTAAGATTGTCTTCTTCCAAGATAAAAATTTATAGGAAATACATTTAAGTTGATTAGGTAAGTGGTTTCTTTGCATTTTCCACACATTGCTGGTCTTGAGGGGAAAAGACAGAAGTGATTCCTGTCCTCTGTGAAAGTGTAAACTGTGGTGAGGTGGACCATTGTTATGGGAATAATGCAAGATTGCAACAAAGGAGAAAGTAGAAAGAAGTAAAGTTTAATAACCACCTTTCACAGATTGAAAAGGGGGCAGACAGGCAAGTGAGGTGTGGAAGGGCCAAGTATTAGGTTTTTTAAAAGGCCTTTGGGGAAAGGGAGTTTAAGTCCACAGGACTGTCCAGGGCTGTGGGTTTTGGATGT